ACCGCCAAACAAAGGTCGATGACCAGCGATTGCGTGGAAACACAAGGAAAATTACGTGGATCACTAGGGTGATCAAGTCCCAAATGAACGAGAGCCATGATCTCGTTTCTCGTTTCTTTTTCCTTTCCCTGTCTTTTTCTTTTGCGTGTGTGATCATTATTTTGAGTTTTTGGTTTTTTTTTTTTTTTTTTGCTTGGAATCTTACATTCCCTTTTATTTCATTTGCCCATTCTTATTTTAATTTGTTTTAAGCAGTTCTTTTGGATTCCTTTGTTTTTTGCTTTTCAAATTATTAATTCGCTTCACATCAGCACGAATAAACTGTTACGAAATGGATAATGCACCAACACACAATTTGTCTACAAATGTTCATAAAACCTTCAATTTTTATATGAGAAAGCATACTCTGTAACGTTGCAAAATGAACCACCCACAAATGTTTTTACAAGCTCTTCGCGATGAACGGGTTCTATTTTAGTCGGGAGTGAGTTAAAGAATCGGCACTTTTGGAACCTCAATTAAATTTTGAACATAGTTAAGAGTTTCCGTACGATCAAAAGAGACTTCGCCGGCCCTACGGACGCGCGAAACGATTGCTCTCCGGGCTCACTGTGAGTTTACATGCACGCCGACTCGTCCGCTGGCTTGAACGTACATGAAATGTTTTATTTTAGTTTACCATCTCTTCTTTCAGTTCATTTAATTTCCGAATTTCATTTATTAATTGTTTTACGAATTGTATTTATATTATAAGTGGAAAAAATACTTACAAATCACGCAACATAATCGTGGTGTTATCAGTCGTTTAAATTGTAGGATATTTCTTCAGTGCTTGAGAAACTTAAGTAATAATTTCATGAATGGCTTCACTTCTCTGACTTCTTAGTGTCTTGCGGTTCGTTCGTCACGCCGGTGCAAGAACGCGCGAAACATTTAATGTTCTCATTCAGGAGCTTTACACGGCAATAACGTAACGATCTTTCTTATATAATGTAGTTACTATCAGTACGTGTCTGTTAACAAAAAAATCTCGTGTTTAAACGCTGAGCACATTGCAAAACGGTCGGCCTTGTAGATTTGACGAAGCAGAATAAACCTAGTTTCAGTAGCACATCATAAGTTATAATTGCTTTTTATTGAATTTATGAAATTCCATGTGAAAACTACCAAAATTTCTGCATTATATTGGTGAACACGAGTTACTTCAATTCCTTGAGAAAACTCTAGACGGGGGTAATCCGATTCTCGAATTTAATTTAAACATTTACATTACATTTGGTGATGATGAAGTCCCCTTTATAAAATCAAATTTTCTACAGAAGAGTTAACCTGCAATAAAAGCTGAATCCACTGCATTATAGCCAACAATTACTAAGTTATAGGCACTGAAGCTATACCACAGAAAAGCAAATTTGGAGCTCACGCTATGCACTTGTAGGCGGTGCACTTTGATGGTGCTTGTTTACTTTTGACATATTAAAATATTTACCTCAGATAACTCGTAATTAAAAAATTAGGATAACTGGCATTCCAAATCATTTGAAATTTAATAACTGTTTAAAAATCTACTGTTGTGCTTGAGGCTCGTCATCAATGAATCATAAATTTTTGCGTTCGACTTCTAATACGAGTGATTAATTAATTGAAATTGAAGTGACTTTTGAATTTGAAATAAAATCATTGAGACAAATAATATATAACTCAAAATTCACCATTTGCATTCATCGTATAAAGTGTCTAATAAAAAGTGCCCCAAAATGTCACATGAACTTCAGGGAACGTTTTTTCTCCAGATTCATGGCTGACATTGAGACCTAGAAACGAAACTTTCTTGGCCGAGCTTCCGTCAGCTCGGCCAAGAGATTATTTATGCTGCGACATGCGTAGCGACATAAGGTAGCACAAAAGTCAAGCATAATTAATTAGGGTTAAAGTTCAAGTATTTCGTAAATTTTTAATAAGTGAAGAAGTGTAAAGCTTTATACAGGCGTCACGAAAAAAAAAGTTAATTGCTTTTTAATCGATCATCTACGATTGATAAAAAAGAGAAGTAATCTCAGACGAGCAGTAATCTCAGAAGATAAGTAATCTCGGAAGATAAGTTACCTCAGACGAGCAGTAATCTCAGAAGAGAAGTTATCTCAGAAGATAAGTTATCTCAGAAGTGAAGTATAATCTTAGAAGAGAAGTAATCTTATAAGAGAAGTAATCTCAGAAGTGAAGTAATCTCAGACGAGCATTAATCTCAGAAGAGAAGTATAATCACAAGAATTACAAGTCACTGTCTTCAGTCTTTAAGCACAACAAATTATCTATTTAACTCGATCATATTTACGTCCACTGTGATATAGAAAGTATGTTTTTTGCCGATAATTTGTGTAACCGCGGAAACTCAGACATCGTCAACAAAAAAAAAATTTCGTCTCTAATTGGTAGTGTAAAAAATCACGCCAAAACTGACGCCAAAAATTACCTCGATTTTTTAATTTCTTTTTGGTCGGCCTGTAAAGTTATTACCTTTTAATATATGTAGATATTTCGAGCAAGACTGTCAGATTGTTATTGCGGTAGAATTATTTCCTTTCTTTCCGTAGTCATAGGTACATCAGTAGATGTTTTTTAGAGAAAAAATCAGGTCCAAAATAAATGAGGCTAAATTTGCATTTTGTTCACTCGTTTTTTGGTGCCGTGAAGCGACTTTTTTTGAAATATCACGTTGCTCATCCAGAAGCTTTTTGTGAGCGTCTTTAAACGAATCTGAAGTTTAACGGTATAGTATCATGATGGCCTCAAATAGTACCATGAAACTTATGAGCTTTTGGCCAGGCTTTTAGCTTAGGAAATAATGTATGCGTGTTCCTTTATTTATAGGCTTTGATTTATCGACTAACGAATTACTGTCATTTAATTACGACTTATTTCCTGTACGTAACTTCTTTTAAATAAGGTTCATTTAATGCAACTTATTTTTTTCTCTAAAGGTGAAGAGAGTCCTGTATATGTGACTGAATTATAAAATTTATATAGGTCTAAAAAAATTATTTTGTCAGTAAAAGGTCATTGTGAGTGACCATGGGTGGCACGGATGTGAGATTCACGCTCATTTAGGACGAGGAAGCCAATTAGAAGAAATTCATTGAATTTATTCAAAACATTTGCCTCAAATGTCATCACAAGACAATGCAAAACATTTTAAGATGCAAGATTGTCTATTAATCCACGAATTTCCTTTTAAAATATTTTCTATAGTGTCGGCTGCTTTGCTGAACATCGATTTTCTTAGATAGTTTTCCTATAAATAGTCACGGATTTAATAGGGAGGTAGTCTTGTCTTTAAAAAGTTATTCCAGAGTTCGATAGATTTATTGACATCTTACTTTGAAAATTAAAGGTAACCCATTTTTCAGTCGGTAAAGTTCTTCCGAAGATTACGAACGATGATTCGAATGAGGGTCTAAATTTTGATAAAAAATATCAAAAAAATAATCACCTTCAACAACGAGTTCTAAAAATCATCTCCGCATCCCGGAATGTCTTCTCAATAAAATATTCCACGTAATCGCGATATTATTTGATTCTTTTGATTACGAATTTGGCAAGCAAACACCATGGAATGTAAAATGAGGACTCGCTATAATTACGTCGCTGTTGATATAAGATTGAGATTAAGTATATAAAATTGATTTATCTCAATGGCCGCCCAACGGACTCGCACGTATCTAGAATTATTCCACAAACAGAATATTAAAGAAATTTTATGATATCATGTATGTCAGCTAGAATAAATAATGAAAGAGTTTTTATGTATAATTTAACCATTAGAGCCTCTGTATAATCCAAGTTCATCAGTTTTAACGTCAAGATACGGAAGCCTGTAAGTGGTCTGAAACATGTAGGTTAAATTAACAAAAAATATTAGCATACCCACACCTTGAAATGTTCTCTTGTGTCTGGATAAGGCGAAAGAGAAGTTAGCTTTATGACCTAATACGTATAGAGCAACAGGTTATCAGCGTTACTTAAACATATGCTTGTCGCCACATGAAAATCAAAATAGCGAGGAAAACAACTGGTCTAAAAAGTGCCTCCTGACATTTACGGTGCCTCCTGCAACGCCCTTGCGATCAGTTTCTTCATTCGCCCTTCTTTGGTGATGCTCTTATTTTCGCCTTATTTTGTTTCAATCCTGTTACTTCCTGCTTGCTTAAGTATTCAACAATCATGAGACATTACACAGTTTGTGTGGCAACACTTGTCCCTCTTTGAAAAAAACATGTAAATGCTACTTGCTTGAGCCTGATCCAAATACATTGAGTTTAAAGTAAGCTGAGGTAATAGAATATTACACATATTTAATGGGAATAAGTGCCCTTAGTTAATATTTATTGTCTTTGGTGAAATTAATTTAATTATTTCGGGTTCAAGAAACCATTCAGTGCCTCAAATTATGCTCAACAGAAAGCCGTGAATCATTTTGTAAGTTTTGGTAAATAGACTTTTACCAGTTTTTTACCGGTTTTACCGGTTTTAGTGACCCTTCCCCAAATTTAAGAAAAAGAGCTAATTTGATCTGATCATGCCTGTATAATCGCAAATCAAAGAACCGTCGAATTGACCTTTGCTGTGACGTAAAAAAAATTGGTTCTGACATCACACTGGAACAAAGCTAGCCACCCGGTGAACCAACTTCTCGTGCTTATTAGGAGGTCAAAATGACATAAAAAAACATAACTGACTTCGCCTCTCTCTGCTGCAAGTTCGATGCCCTAGTTACCAGTTCAGCTGAGTGACCTGCAGGCTGGGTACTAGTGACCTATACTAATACAACAAACTAATATGAAAGCTGTGTGAAAAATACGCATGGATCGACGATCAAACTAACATAAAACTTACTATTTAAAAAACATTTATAATAATTGCACAGTTTTCGCTTCAATCATGAACATTCTGAAATTAATTTTGAATTCCCTTCATTCAATGAGAACCGTCATAGTACTTACGTTTCAGCATCCAGTTTGGTGTGTTGCTTTTCATGGACCGACGTTCCTTCAAGTAGTTCACTTCTTCCACGCATCACAATATCTCTGAAATACCTCTCGTTTTTAGATTCCTTGTTTAACAGTTTTTTCCATTTATTACTTTTATCTTTAAGTTCTTTTCCTCGTACCAACAGCGTGGCTCGGAATTTATTGAGAAAACTGTTTTTGTTGACCCCGTTAAGCCCGACTACAACATTATTTTCATTTAAATCGATCAGGGACGATTGCACGTACTGGTCCCTAGTGTCGAGTTTTTGCGCTTCAAGTTCCGTGTCCTCAAACTGCTGGTCTACGTGACGCTGAAGCTTCGTTGTCAAGTACGTCGCGAAGTCGTCCCGGTTGAAGTTCTTAAGAGGAGTGTCCACTCGGTCGTTAGAAGTTATTGTCATCTTGCCATCACTCATGTCCCTATTTCCTCCATTGTCGGTCACTTCTGCATCAGTTTCTTTCGGAACATTGGTCGACTTTGAATCTTTTTCTACGGCCTGATTCAACTTTTGTGATGCTCCATTCGTTTCGACTCCAAAAGACGTTATTTTTTCCGTTACCTTGTCTTCCACATCTGAGTCATCGCAGGCACTGCAATCATCTTCGCAATCACGTGAACAACGATCACAGCTTTCATCACAACACTCATCTGTTCCTTGAAAATTTGAAACCTTATTCCTATTCTTCTTTTCAGTAACTTCCAAAGAATCTAAGCTATTTTCGTTTGCCACTAGAACAAGGTTATCGTCAAAACGTTTTCGACGTCTGCACAACAGACAAGTCGTGCAGAACGAAGCACAACAACAACGTCGCGGCATTATGGATGACGTCTAATAATCCCAGTTATATCCACAGTCATGAAATAGTTATTCTAATGCGATGAGAGAAACTGTAAAACAATTTGCTGTTTTACCAACTAAGATATCTCTGAAAACACAGGAATCAGATATTACGAATATGATGTAATATAATACATATGTAATATAATACATACTTTTAAAACTACTCAGCATAGAAATACTAAAAAATACTACTACATTTGGCCCGTCGCCGATTCGTAACATCGCAGAACACTCACAGCTTGTTGCGGTCTCGAACACGCAACTCACTGCTCCAATTCTGATGAGCTTGACCGCCCGGCCTCCTCGCCGATTCTGACCAGAAACTGGCGCACGTACAGAGCTAGGATCGAACCAGCACTTCTCGGCTCCAATCCTGGTACTCTAAACTATAACCACTGGGTCAACATCCCACGAATAAAATCCCGAATGAAATAACAACTTATACGCAAAATCCCATAGGTCCCAACTCTGATATTGAAAATTCGAACGTGCCATAATCCACTTGAAAGAAAAAAATCGGACTCAGCTAGTGAACTAGGGAGGGCAATTCGATTCAAACGGAAATTTGGACTGAATTTAAATTTAATACAAATGGGGCAATTCAATCCAAGGCTGAAAAGGATAAGGTAGTGCAGTCCGGCTCAAAGGAAAAGTGCAGCACTAGTCCAGCTGAAAGTGAGAGTGGACTAGTCCTGCCGAAAGTGAGAGTAAACTGTTCCAGCTGAATGTGTGAGTGCACTAGTTCAGCTGAAAGTGATAGTACACTAGTCCAGCTGAAAGTGATAGTACACTAGTCCAGCTGAAAGTGAGAGTATCAGTGGCACAGCATTGCCTCACCGGGCGCTGGTGTCGCGATAGCAGCGCTTGCAACAGCCGTAATGAAAGCCTTTAATTCATCCCATGCAATTCCTCCATACTACAGAATAATAATTCGAAGTAATAAATACTTGATTCTATTATTTTCAGTCATTAGATAAGTGTTATTATGTAATAAAAATTTTCCAAAACAAAAACTCGTACATTGAGAAAAGTACACCATATTTTCAGCGTAAATTATAAAGCATGGGAGATCGCAGCCGTTACCAACAAATTCAACTATTAAGATAGTCCTAAAGCTAAGGCGTAGAACAAACATGTACAGATACACTTAGCTTCAGAGCTACGATGCCGCAGACCACGAGAGCAACACCGCAAGCCACACCAGTTCCAATACAACTCAAAGCCATCGCGCCGTATGTCCTAAGCCAGTTCTCATTTCAGTTAGGTATTCCACCCCAGCACCGACTAACTCCATACTTACCCCTGAGTTATTAATACTTGAAAAATATTACTTGAATTGGAGCAGAGAGGTGCTTGTTCAATTCAAGCTCTTCGTGCCAGTTCCTGCTGAGAATCGACTAGGAGGCCCGGCGGTTAAGTAAAACAAAATTGGGGCAGCTAGTTGCGTGTTCAAGACCACAGCAAGCTGTGAATGTTCGGCGATGTCAATAATCGGCGACAGGCCTAAATAAACGCTGAAACCGCTATAAACCGCAATTACTTGACCTACCACTCCACCATATTGCAGCCAATGAGGTTTAGGTTAATTTCGCTTTCGTTTCTTAGTGTTGGAAGTCGGCGTAAGGGTGAAGGTAGGGCCATGGGTTTGAAAACACTCAATTTCCTAGACTAGTCTACTTCGCAGCATGCTTGTTCATGGAAAAAAATGTTATAGTGAGGTTGGTATTGGGGAATTGTTATATTGAGGGTAGTATATTCGGGAATGCTGGCTAACATGAATCACAGTAATGGAATGCATCTTCCCGCACTGAAGCATTACTTTCCCGCCCGAGGCCAGCGACAGTTCTCTTGCGTGGCGATAGCGGCCCAGTGAGGTTGTGTGCCGTGCGCTCATCCGACAATTATGATACACAAAAGTTCTATTAGCGCAAATGTTGTATCACAGCAAATGTTGAACCACACGAAAAAGATTTAGCGGAAGACGAAAAGTTAGTTGTGGCAACAAATACCGTGACGCACACGGGCATACCAGTGTCACACACGGGACTGACTGTGTCACACACGGGACCGACTGTGAACCACACGGGACTGACTGTGCCACAGCAGGGACGTCAGGAAGGAGTGGTGGCGGGACACAGAGCGCCGGCCCGGCGTCGCATCGGTCAGCGAGTTGGCACGCTGCCTCTCTGAGAGTGAGTGGTTGGTTAAGTGGTGGAGTGAGTGGTGGATGAGTGGTGGAGTGATTGACGGAACGAGGGATGGAGTGAGTGGAGCGAGTGATGGAGTGATTGGCGGAACGAGTGGAGCGAGTGATGGACCAGGGTGGTGGAATGGCGTAGCAAGTGATGAGGGACGAGTAGGGAGAGTGAGGCTGTAGAGACACGCCTAGCGGTGAAGTCAGTTCGTTTGTCGATTGCCATGCACTTCACCCCGACAGGGGAAGCGGGTTTACTGCTAACGAGTCTTCGAGAATTGTCCCCACCCACGCACACATGCACACCTACTGCATCCCCGTGCACCACACCTACTGCATCCCCGTGTACCACACCTATTGCATCCCCGTGCACCACACCTATTGCATCCCCGTGCACCACACCTATTGCATCCCCGTGCACCCACACCGTCTCTATTCCTCGTATAACTCATACCTTCCGAACACCCACACCCACCCATTACGACCCGACTCCCCCACCAACGCCTGACACTTTATTGCCTCCCACTTACCAACATCTTCACCTCCCCACGTCACCCCTTTAACCCTTCTCATATCTCCCCAAAACATCCCTATAATGTACCATTTTCCCTCTTGATTCCCCTCAACTCATCTCACAAATTCACGTAAATTATTGTTGTCCCCTGACCCTCATGCCTCCCCAGGGGGCTTATATTACCCTCTTGACCCCATGCCTCCCCAGGGTTTACCTTGTCCTGCTTCCCCAGGAGGAGGGCAGTGGACGTGTGGTCCTCCCACCGGCGTGGTCCTGTTGCCGCTCGTCACGTCGCCTCCCGCCTGCTCCCTCTGCACCCCGCCTGTTGGGGATTTGGGAGGGTGAGATAATAACTCCCCAGGCCAGAGAGGCGTTTAACCACAGCCGGAAGGAGGTTCACCCCCGGCCAGAAGGTTCCCCCAAGGTAGAGGGTAGTTTACCCCCAGCAATAGGGAAGTTCAACCCCAGCCAGAGGGAAGTTCACCCCCAGCCAGAGGGAAGTTCAACCCCCAGTGGGAGCTTCAGCCCGAGCCAGAGGGATGAGGTTCACCCCCAGGCACGGTAAGGTTGCCCTTTTGCCCCATGGCAGGCTGTGGGGTGAAGACCTACAATCCTTGCAAGTAAGGAATCTCATATCCCGTCAGAAGCTGTGCGATCTCCAGCTGGGTCTATACTTTTAAAAAGAGTTAAGAGATCGTAAGTTCATCAGCCAATCATTGACAGTCTTTCAAGCAAAATCCACCGATCATTGACAAGAAAATAGAGCGTAAGTACTTACGTTCACTTAGCGAGTTTTGAAAGTATGGCCCCTGAACAGCACTGCACCGCCAGTATGGTGAGACGTGTACTCAACCTCTTCGGGCGATGTCTCAAACGTCAACTCTTATTTCCATCCTATTCTCACTTACTACATGATGTAGTCATGGCCCATTTGAAGCCATAATTCAACCTAGTTTATCAACTTTACCCGAATTTTAGTTTATGCCGAAGCCTAACCTATGGACTTTTAGTTTATGCCGAAGCCTAACCAATGGACTTTTAGTTTATACCGAAGCCTAACCAATGGACTTTTAGTTTAAGCCGAAGCCTAACCTATGGACTTTTAGTTTATACCGAAGCCTAACCTATGGACTTTTAGTTTATACCGAAGCCTAACCTATGGACTTTTAGTTTATGCCGAAGCCTAACCAATGGACTAGCCGTCGAGCCATTACTATCGCTAGCATCAGATCCAACTAGTCATAAGCCAGAGCTGAACTAGCCAGTGCTTAAATTATTCACTAAAATTATTCAACGAAGATCACCATGCATATGAAACCATCGTCTGAATTTTTCCTGCAAACAACAGCTCGGAGCACAGCTCATTAATTGCAAATCTATTAATATTGACATGGAACGGATTTCCTCCTGAGTCATTAATTTGATTTAGTGTTAAGGGGACCGGCTACCCTCCGGAAAAACTTCTACAGTTATTATCCGATCATCATGAAACTTCACATACATACGTAAAATGTAAAAATAAGAATCCACGCATTCCAGCGCCGCTGCCGCCCTGCTGCTGTTGTTGTTGGTGTTGTTATTGTTGTTATTTCTGTTGTTGCTGCTGTTAGTGTTGCTGCTGTTAGTTTTGTTGCTGCTGTTAGTTTTGTTGCTGCTGTTAGTTTTGTTGCTGCTGTTAGTTTTGTTGCTGCTGTTAGTTTTTCTGCTGTTGTTTTTGATACAGTAGTTGTTGCTGATGTTAGTTCTATACTCGTTATTGTTAAGATTGTTAATGCTGGTATGGTTATTATTTGTGCTAATTTTGTATAAATTTTAATACAGTTGGTGTTTCTGTTGTTTTTTTGCTTATACTGGCGCGTCTGTTGTTAATTGTGCTGTTAGTGTCTGAGTAAGTAACGCCAAAAAACGTGATCTCTGTGCCGGCTGCAGTCACTGCAGTGAGTTACAGCCACTGCAGTGAGTTACAGCCACTGCAGTGAGTTACAGCCACTGCAGTGAGTTACAGCCACTGCAGTCACTGCAGTGGCTGTAACTCTCGCCACACGGCAGTGTGTGCGCAGGTGTTCGCTGAGGTCATCCGCCAGAGGCCGCGGCCTCCACTGCACGGCCTCCGTACTGGACACGTGCACTGGACACGTGCACTAGACACGTGCACTGGACACGTGCACTGGACACGTG